ACAGGCCTGGCACACAAGAAACACTCAATACACACATGCTGAATTTTAACCCTTTAACATTCAAGTCCAGGACTTTCCAATGCACCTTCTAATGGATATATCCACATTTGCATGTGAAGCTGGACACTGAGCAGTTGTCCCCTCCAGCCCTGCTACCTGGTGAGGATGACTGTGGCGGGGCAGGTAGCTCCTGAGAGCCCACAGTCTTATGCGAAAGCCAAGAAGCACAGGCAGGGTGTGATACCTGCCAACGCAATGACAGCGCCCCCTTTGGGCAGGGAGGCAGTTCAGCAGAGGTCATGGGAGGGTCTCAGGTGATAGTGTTAAACTGTATAGAATAGTAAGAAGCTGGGAAAATTCCAGAACAAGTGGAATAGAGAAACTAAGACAGTTAATCAACAGTTTGCAGCCACCTAGTAAATCCTATCTTCTCTAAACCAAAGATACTTAAGAGTAAATGGTTTGGCCTGGCTGGTGTGGCTCAGCGGTTGAGCATCAACCTATAAACCAGGAGGTAATGGTTCGATTTCAGTCAGGCCATGTGCCTCGGCTGCGGGCTTGATCCCCAGTGGGGTACGTGTGGGAGGCAGACGATCGATGATTCTCTCTCATCATTGGTGTTTCTACCTCTCTTCCTCTTGCTAAAATCAACTTTAAAAAATGCTTTAAAAAAAGAGTAAATGGCCCTAGCCAGTTATGCTCAGTGGATAGAGCATCAACCTGAAGACTGAAGGGTCCCGGGTTCGATTCCAGTCAAGGGCATATACCTTGGTTGCAGACCCCCTGGTCGGGTATGTGCAGAAGGCAACGAATGGATGTGTCTCTCTCACATTGATGTTTCTCTCTCTCTGTCTCTCCTCCTCCCTTTCACTTTCTCTAAAAATCAATGGCAAAATATCCTCAGGTAAGGATTAACAACAACAAAAAAAGAGTAAATAGTTTGTACTTCTCCTCCCCAACCAGAGGGTATATAGCTTAAATCACCCTACTCAGGGAGAAGATAGAAATCCAATTAGTGCCATTTGCCAACCACACCCAAGGACAGACAAGAGAATAAATCTGTTTGGTACATCAGCATTAAGCTGATGAATAGTCTATTGATCTGCCCTTAAGACCTCCCCTAAACACCCAACCTTTAAAACCCCTGAAAATTAAGGTCCCAGAGCTCTCCCCTCAAGAAGCAAGCCCATGCTATTCCCTCCCCCCTCAGGCATGTATCCACTAAAGTCTAAGGGATCCCAGGATATTTTTGCTATGGTCAATACATTCTTGCTTGCTTTTCTACACTTAGTCTCTTGATTGAAATCTTTCCCTCAAGAAGATAAGAAAGAACAGCCCAGATGGTGTGGCTCAGTGGTTGAGTGTCAACCTATGAACCAGGAAGTCACAGTTCGATTCCTGGTCAGGGCACATGCCTGGTTGTGGGCTTGATCCCCAGTAGGGGTGTGCAGAAGGCAGCCAGTCAATGATTCTCTCTCATCATTGCTGTTTCGATCTCTCTCTCTCCCTTCCCTTTCCTCTCTGAAATCAATACAAATATATATGAAAAAAAAGGAGACAAGAACCGAGGTCTTATCTTCCTGATAACAGTAAGCACAGAAGGAGCCTGAGCTGGGGGGAGGGGGGAAGCGAGGTTGTATTTGCAGAAGCACCTTGGCACATGTAGACCTAAGAGGTGCCCCTACCATGTGCTACTGTGCAGAAGGCCTGCAGCCCACCTGCCTCTGGGCCTAGGGCACAGTGGGCAGATTTGCACGCAGGAGCAGTGTGCCTGGAAAGTGTGGCCTCGGGGCACCCAAGGGGCGGCAGTGTATGGAACTGCAGTCCTGAAAGCGGTGGCTCTCCTCTGTGTTCAGGGACAACCAGACCGAATCAGGAGACACACCACCATGCTGTCCTGTGAGCTGTCAGATAATGAAAGCCCAGACCTTGAGTCACTTTCACAGAGAGATTTATCGAGAATGCTAACAGCAAAGGATACAGTACTTCCCAACAAAAGGTGCAAACGCGTCACTTAGAAAGGCATGCTGAGTAGTCTTTGCTTTCACACGTATTAAAAAACTTACAAAAATAAAATAAAACTGCGTGCTGCCCATCTTTTCAAATAGTAAAAGAACCTTATGAAAAAAATCACTTGATTTTACAACAAAAGACACAAACGGACATTTTTATGTAAATTTATAAGGCAAACTCTTTATATAATAAATAGGTTACAGGGATTCAGTGGGGGGGGGTGTTTTGAAACGTATACAGGTACATTCAGACAGGTTTACTGAAATGGTACAAATTTCCTTAATAAATTGCCTTTTGTTTTTAAATATATCAGTGCTTTCAGTCATTTGGCTATACACAAAGAACCTTTTTTTGAACACTACAAAAAAGCAATCAATATTTTTTTTTGTTTTAAAACGACCTACTTATTTCCTAAAGTAATTGTCCCAAAACACAAAAACTGAAGGTGAATGCAATAGAGGGCTTGTAGAGACATCTCCAGCCAAGTCTGTCCTGGGCAGCTCCCCGCGCCCCTTGCCTACCTCTCCTGCCCTCAGCAGGGCTTCCCTCTGCACAGGGTGGCTGGCTTGTGTCACTGCAACTCGGGAGGGGGCAGCCACCCTGCCTGGTTCTTCCTGCTACTAAACCCCGTGTGTAGTGGTCACTACAATCGGCACTGTCATTGCCTTGCAGATGAAGGGCTGCCAGGCACTAAGGGAGCACACATCTGTCCCTGTTCTGTGAACCCAAAACAATGTCTGGTGGGGGTAACGGCTTCTCTGAGGAGGATCTGGTTTTGCCATGGAAAGGGAAGGGGGTTTCTCACATCCAAATTTTTTTTCTGGGAATCTGATGACAGCAAAGAGAGTGCACCCTCCCATCCCACCATCGTATCGCCCGGGGTGGCTGGGGATTGAGCGGTCACAGTAGTGTGGTGCACTCCAGGTAAGGGGTGGGATGTGATGGAGGTGTCCTAAACGATAATGCCCTCTGCCTGGCCTGTCTAGAAAGAGCTGCGTCAGGTGAAGAGTGGCCAGTCTGCCCTGTCAACATATACCTGACCTGTGGTTACAGTGGAGATCTCCAGGGAGATGCCCACCTTTTGTTTGAGCCACCTGGTTCAGGCCCGCTTCAGGTTGGCCCTGCTCACACCCCACCTGGCTCCCCTCACAGGAACATAAACCTTGACTGTCCTTAAAAATATCAATGATGCTAATAATCTCGGGGAGGGGAGGGGAAGGCAAAAATGTCCACTGGGTGGAACAAGATCTGGTTTTGCTCGGAATTGGAAAATGGCAACAAATCAGCTATTCGGTCTGTTGGCTTAGGCTGAATTTCTTGGGTGGCTTCTGGCTGATCTGAGCAGGGGTCATCTCTTTGGGTCTCCCCTCCTGGGGAAATAGGACAGCCCCTCTCATCTCAGTCACCATCCCCTCCCTCTGAATTCTTTTGTTTGTAAAGAAAAGGTGTCTAGAAGCATTTGTCTCTGGAACAATTACTTTAAACATGGTTACAATACAAACTTCAGTTCAAACACAGAAGAGATTTACTTAGCAAAGTTCCTTTCACCCACCAATTACACAAATATAAGCCTCAACACCACAGTTAAGAGGACCAGTAGAGAGAACCTCATGTTTGGAACACAAAAGGGGAAATAAAAACCAAACCAAACCCAAACAGAAAACCCCCAGAAAAACGAGGGGAGGGTGAGGAGAGCTAACACAGCACACATTACAGTGTCCGGGTACACAGGAGCCCAGCGCGATAAAAGGGCTCGGCACACATTGAGTAACAGTCCTGGTGATATTTGGTCATATATTCATCAACTACTGACTCTGGAGCGGCTGTTATTGATTGAAGCAGTGACAAATCAAACGGAAAAGGAGGCCTTGGTAGCAAAGGAAGGAGCAGGCTTCAAGTTCTGCAAGCCTTGTGCACTCCACTGTCCAGCTCCCCAGAAACACTGAACTGGGCGGGCCCCGCTCCAGCCCGGCGGGGCGAGGTCACTGGGTGAGGCTAACTCGGGTGCTGATTTCACATTTCAGTCAGAAAGCATGCACGTGGACACATGCGGACACCCACCTGTTAGTGGCCAAGCATCGGTGGCAACGGCCTCCTCACCTCCTCGGCCCCATTCCAGGCTGCGTGGGCAAGGACGTCATGACCCACCGCTAATACTGAATGTGGGCTGGAGTGGGCCCAAGACCAGGTCCTCCAAGGGGCCCGAGGGTAGCCCAGCCACACAAAGAGCCTATGAGTGTTTCTCTCTTGGATTCAGGCCTCAGAAGAAGTATTGACGCAGGAAGGGAAGCTTTTGGCCCTGGTGATTATAATGCTCTCTGCTTTGGAAGAACAAGTTTCTGGATTTTTTTGGTGTTTTTAATTACGTAAAAAAAAAAAAAAACCGATCAAAAAGAATTGTTACAGCTAAATTCTAGCAGATATTGCTCATTAAGAATTACAAAAGCAAATGCAATTACTCGCAGGATGTGGGAGAAGAGAAAGGGACATTTCTGGAGTCTTCGCTACCTCCTAGAGGGAGACTGGACTCTCTATGTGGTTCTGGGTCCCTGGCATTCTACCTGGTGCAGCTCACACGTTCAAGGACACGACAGGCCTTCTGTCTTCCCTCCAGACCCTGGACTCGGCAAAGTGGGAGCCCTACTGGTGGGGAGGCCTGCTGAGCTGACTCTCCACACATGATCACTCTGACCGGTCACTGGAAGGGGTGGGGGGATCAGGCCACCCCCATGGACTCCAGCTGCCCTACCCAGAGGTGGAAGAGGACCAGGTGGTGCCAACTACATTCCGGACTTCGCCAGGGCAAGGGAGCACTCTCGCACCCACCCACTGAGGTGAACTGTCCTGCACCAGTATCCCCGGACCTCTCTCACAAGCACTGGAGAAACAGTGCAAAACCTGGGCGCTGCCTGGAGCCTCCTTAGCTTGGCACAGGGAAGCCCTTGAAAGAAGCGAGGAAAGACCATGGATCTGCTTGGACAGAAGAAGTGACCAGCAGACGGATTTGTCAGGTTTTTTTTTTTTGTTTGTTTTTGTTTTTATTTTCCCTTGTCCTATGCTACGGTTATCAGAAATATTGTAATTAAGCAACAGGTATTATTTTAACAGTGTGTGTGTGTGTGTGTGTGTGTGTGTGTGTGTAGCCACAAGCAAAATGAGTTTATAATTGTGCAATATACAGATATATATATAAAAATTCAACTGCTTTGTGTGTCTAATCGGTGCATTAAATAAAAGGGACAGAAAAACTAAAAGCAAAACTAAAAAGCAAAACAAAAGCCCAGAACAGAGAGGACCAAGCAGGCCTATGCTTATAGTCTATAAGATACTGGATATAATCAGGGTCACCAGGAAAAACAGCTTTGTCACTTGACACACAAACACTGCAGGGAGGGACTACCAGTGATAGGAGCCAAACCTCTTGGCCTTTTCATCTTATTTTCTCTCACTGCTGAGCAGGACCTGAGAAAAGGTAAGATAGAAGGGGGAGCTAGAGGAGCAAAGACAATTTGCAAGTTTTTAAAATGCTCTGAAACTCAAAGGCCAGATTTCCCCTGTGAGGGTCTCAGCTCTGCCAGGGGTGCGGACACCCATCCTCACACACAGCCTCCCCTTCTACCCCAGGGGCTGTCAAGGGTGAGGGGCGAGTGGGGCACACACCACGGTGAGTGCTCAGGCCTCTGTCCTCACCTCCGAGTTCAGAAGGAATGCCATTTCATCGGGCCCTAGATCCCAAGGAGAGCAGAGCAGGGAATGTCCTCAGGGGACAGGCTGTGCCACAGGCAGAGGCCAAGGGGGAGACATCACCCTTTCCTTTCTAGTTACCTGGGCCCTAGTTAGAACTCATTTTTTTTCTTGACAAATCAGAGCTTTGGGTAGGCTCTGTGGAGATAAGAACGAAGCAAGAAACAGGTGGTGCTGGGAATGAGACTGGTGTAGGCCTTCACGAGTCCCTGTGACCACTCCGCTTCCCACACCAAGAGCTGGGCTCCTGCAGCTTTGGGCCCAGGCGGGCCACTAACCTCCAGGCCACCCCAGAGGACAGAGCTGAAGCCAAGTCCTCAGGGATGCTACCCAAGGAGATGTGGGTTCTCCAATGACAGAATGGCCCTGAGTCTCAGATCCAGTGGCTTGGGGCTGGAATCCCCTTTGCCTGCAGTGCTCACACATCAGGCCAAGCTCCAAGTATTTTTAGATCAGAATTTTCACAAAAGCTTGCTTTTCTTTGTTCAGAAACATTAAAATGTATTCTTTTTGCCAAATATTTTCTAGGTTTTCCTTCTGAATTGTTGAGAGTGGGTTTCAGTGTTCACTTTCCCCCCCTAAAATATGTAACTTCAGACCCTGGGAGAGGCAGTATCCTAGCTATTTATAACAATTAGGCCTTTTCTAAAGATTGATCTAAAAGAGAAAGACACAAAAATGGAGACTCAACAAAGCCCTCCAGAGTGGACGGGCTCACTGACCAAGAGCAAAGATGGACCCTTGCAGAAAGCAGAGCAAGAGCAGGAATCCAACACAGCAGGGGTATGGCCACAGGCCTGGTAATGCTGTGCTTGTCCACACACCAGCAGCTGGCACTTGGGGGACTGACACCCATTCGGCTTTTCACACAGCTTGCTTCCTGGGGTCTGGGCCACTGGTCCTAGACTTTCTGCGTGAAACTCGCATCAGAAAGCAATTCGGGGCAATGACACCAGCTAGGAATGGATGTACAAAGGTCTCCAAGAACCAGTACCTGTGACCTCCCCTGATCACGTCAGTCCAGAGAGCCGGTGGGAATGCTCCCCAAGATCCAGGCAGCCCCCTGGTGGGTTTAGTTCATAACCTTTGCTCCCTCCTGGGTTCAATCTGCTTATTAAGAGTTACTTAAAATCCAGAGGGCTGTCAGCTAAGAAACTCCTTTCCCACCAAACATGGAAGCTTGTTTCTGGCTAGTACCCTTTCATGATGGCTGTCATGACAATGACAAGCTGGGCAGAGGAGCAGCCAACAACTTGGCCACTGTTTTTGGCTCTAGCCTGAAATGATGCCACTGAAGACTGTTGCCCACACTTGCATGGGGTCTCAGTAGAAGCCAGGTGCTGGCTGTGGCCAGTGTCCCCAGGCCACCACCATGACTTTCACCTTCCAGGGAGCTGAGGGGCTGGGGTCCTTGGCTACTTTGGCACTGATGGACTGGGGACATGACATTTTTAGGTGTCTTCTATGCCAACAGAAGGGCACTGCACTAGAGCCTGGTTGTGGCCCAGTTCCCCAGTTCACTTAAGTGTCAAAGCCAGCAATTCCACTGGTAAGGACAAGCTCACCAATGGGCAGACAAGTAGGGCAGGGCTGGGCCGGGCATTGTGGGAGGAGCTCAAGGACACACAGAATTCTGTCAAGAAAGGAGGTAGTAACTAACAACTAGAATGATGGTTGGGGAGACGGAACATGATTCTCTGTGACCTAGACCCATGGGGATCTGAAAGTTGTCGGTCAATTCCTGTATTCTTCACAGTCCCTAAAAGATGCACCTCCCCCCCCCATCTTCGTGGTGTTCAAGTACACACAAAATCAAGGTCACACCCCGAACTGGGCTGGACACCGCTGGTGAGAATTCCAGGGCTTAGGTTTTCCCTCCAAACTTCCACCCACCTGACTCTAGGAACAGGGGCGGCACGGCACGGGCCTCTGCCTGTCGGGGTGGCAAACCACCAAGGTGGCCTGTTTAAAGGTCACTCACTCATGATGCCCTTATTTGGGGAAGAAGAGGGAATATGGAAGGGGGGAGAGAAAACCATAAGGAGCCTCAGGCACTGCCTGAAGCTCTGGAACTCTAGGGGAAGGAGCTGGGGAGTGAGGGGGCTGCAGGTCCGGCCGGACAGAAAGAAAACGACCCTTGAAATGCTGTGTTCTTGACCATCAATGCCCAGTCAGCCCCCGAATAACTGTCATGGGTGAAAGGGGGGCCTGGTGAGCCCCACACTCCTCTTCCCAGGACCAGATAAATGAGCTGATGGGGAGGCCAGCCAGCTCCTGACAGTGGTCCCAGGAGTCACATTTCACTGGACTAGGTATATAACACATAAAAACCTGACCGACCAGAATGGACAGCGTCTCCATGACAAACTGGCTGAATGCCGCGCTCGCACGGATAGGTGTCTTTTGGGGATGCCAGGAGTGCAAGGCCACTGTGGGGTCAGGAGCCTTTTGTCCTTGGAGGAAGAGGGGTCCCGAAGGACTCACTCCCTCCTCCGACCCCTCTTCCCTCCTGGGGAGGAGTCAGAAGTGAAGCCCGGGTAGTCGACAGCAGAGTGGGGTTGCTTGTGGGACTTGCTTTTGCAGCATAAGGAAATGGATACAAAAATGCTAGAAAGGCCAACTATGACTCTACGAACAGAATGGGCAAACTCCCTTGCTTCTAACCATTCCGGAAGAGACAGACATGGTTTTTTCTTAAGCTACTGATCGGAACTGTCAACTATAGTTCCTGATCACTAAGGACTGGCAAGGAAGTGCTAGACAGTTTCTAGGATGTTTCACTCCTTCATGGTTACACCAAAGTAAGGAAGCCAGGGGACAATAACTGAAATACACGAGACAACACGCACTTGACAGTTCATGGCAGCAGCTCACATGGGACGTGCTTGTGGGTATTTCTGGAAGCATAAGACTGCTGTCTCATTTGCTACTTTGATAAGGTACTTCTCAGTTGGACAGATTTAGATATAAGAGACATCTCTGTAAACACAGAAAAGGATATACCAATATGATGAAGATATGCAGCTAGATAAGGACTTCCTGAACAGAGAGATTGAAAGGATGGGATCCCACAGCAAACCCAAGCCTCTAAGCCCCTACACCAGAACCCTGGCGTAGATGTGAAAATGTGTGCTACACTGGCCCCACCCAGTCTCCAGTAAGAGAAAGCCAAATGTTTTCCATTTGAAAAGAACTTGTGGTTAACAGAGGAGCCTGGGTGGGCGGGGGGGAGGGGGGGGCCGCCCTAGGCACTGGTCCCAGCTCAGGTCTGGGGGCATCTGCATTTGTTCTGCCTGCTGCCCTGCCACATTGCACTGCGCTAGCCAGGCCTGGCAGAGGCCAAGGTCATGGCTGGGCCGCGTGATGACTGTGGCAGACCACGGGGGGCCTCTGTTCTGCCCTCAGCTCCCAAATTCAAATCTGGTCTGATTCCTCCCACCTACTTCTCTCAAGTGGAAGGTTGAGGAGGCTCAGTGTCTTGATTCTGACTTAGGAGAGCAAGACCTTGCTGTTCTCTTGCCCTTCAGAGAGACTGAGGTGCTAGGGTCAGGTAGGCTCAGCAGAGCCCGGGGCTTCCTCAGGGCTCAGGATGGAGTGAGGCTGGGCTGGGGTTGGTGGCGGGAAGGCCAAGGGTGGGGTGAGTTCTGGGGGCATGAACTAAGCAGAATCAATTCGGGGTACAGCTGTGCACTGGGGCTGCTTGGAACAGAAGGGATGAATGAGGAGGAAGGAGGGGAAGAAATGAAAGGATGAAATGACAGAAGGCAGAAATGGGAGAGAAGAGAAAGCAGTCAGGAAGTCCTTATAAAATTGCAGCAAACACTTAGAGTTTCGGAGCTTCGTGGGAACCCTATGTGCTGAGCCCACTTTAAAACAAGCGCAGGTATCTACAGATCCAGGCAGTTCTAAACACCATCGCGTCTGGTGACTTGAGGGACAAAGTGCCACCAATTCAAGCCAGTTTGCTCTCAGAGCGTGTTTGTTTTGAAGTGGGAACATGAAGACTCAATAGTGCAAATAGTTCTAAGCTGTCCCTAAGGAGTAGAATTGGAAAGTTTTGGAAGAACATTCTCCCCTCCTTCCCCTTGGCCCCCACCCCACTGAGCCTCTAACTGCCAGTCACAGATTGCTCTGAGCGACTAAGGAGTCCCTCCTGCCCCGCTGTGCTCTGCTGGCCCGGAGCTGGGCCAGCCTGCCTACACCTTGTCCTGCTGCCTCCATGGCCTCTCTCTAGTGCCATCCACTGGAGGCCGGCCCTGGGCCAGCCTCTCCTCTGGCTCAGGCAAGTCTACACCTAGCAGCTCGAAGGATGACTCCCTCTGAGCCATGCCAGGCTGGAGTGAACAGGTGCTACTTTCCTGTCCTGTGAAATGTCCTTGTCAGTTTTGGATTGGGGCTGGAGTGGGGCCAGATTTGTGCCACCATGAGTGGGATCACACGGGCTGTAGCCACTGGCCATCTCCAACTTCTTCTCTAAAGAATACAACTGTCTCTCCTGCCTCACACCTCCTTGGCCCAACTTGGGTGAGAGTGGGGGAGGTGGGGAAGCTGGGGCAGGGTGGGGGGAGAGGAGAGCTGAGACTGGGGCACCAATGGCACCGAAAATGGAGTGTCCTCTTAAGTGCTCTCTGTCCTTAGCGACCACACGAGGGGAGGTCTGGGTGGGAGGGGAGGTGCAGGCATACCCTAAGAAGCCTGGTCAACAGCTTGTCTGGTCAGTAGTATCTGCAGCAAGCCTTGTTGAAGGAGCCTAGATTAGAAAAGTGCAAAGCTACTTCTGGCCCTGGTTAGGTCTTCAACCTGACTGTGCTTGTCGGTAAGAAAAACATCCCCAATGCTCCAACTACTCCCACCCTGAAGCCACGAAACTCTAAGTTTACTGAAAGAAAAAAAAATATTTTTTATTTCAGTTAATCGGGAAGCTTTGTCAGAGCCCTACCCATAAGGAGAAGAGACAACAGCTGCCTTTATTCTTGTTGGTTTGCTTTGCAATCCACTCTGTGTAAAGTCAGCTAACTCTCTCGGTCACGGGCGTCCGGCTGTCCACAGGCTCCTCTCTGTTTGGCCTTGGCATGGAGGATGAAACAATGTCTTTGCGCTCTCCCTCCCCTCGGTGTTTGTACTTTTCTGCGGCCGTGGTGGTGGTGGTTGCGACCGTGGGCTGAGTCTTAGCTGGCTCCTTGGGGCAGCCGTCGCTCTCCAGCGAGCCTCCTCTCGGCATCTTCTCCTCTTTGCAGACGCTGCTGCTCAAGTCCTGGGGCTCAGGGGGGCTGGCGGGGTCCTCGGAGCTCTGGGGCTCGGGCGGGGGCGGGGGAGGGGGTGGGAGCAGCGGTGTGGGTGCCTTCTGGGGCTCTGAGTGGTGGTGGTGATGGTGGTGCTCCTTCTTGGGGGGTGAGGAGGCGCTGCTGCTGCGCCCTTTAGGGCTGCTCTCCTTGCTTTTCCGCCCTGGGCTCTTGCAGGTCTTCAGTCCCTTCCCACTCTTCTCACCGAGGGTGGACACCAGCAGGGGCTTCACCACCTCCTTCACCTCAATGCTGACTGTCTCTCGGGTCTTACGCTTCTTGATGGGGAGCACGGTCTCTTGCACAGACCGGATGGATGACTCCTTCACGGCTTTCTTCTTGGCCTCAGCGGCAGCAGCTGCCACCCCACTGCCTGGCTTTCGGCCCCGCTTTTTGGGAATGGCCTGGGGGTCAGCTTCGGCTTTTCGCTTCCTGCCAGGGCGTTTGATCACCATGACCTGGGCTGATGTGGTAGCCCCAGCCCCTTCGGCCTTGCTTCCTGGCGAAGTTTGAAAAGGCATCTTGACGAGCAGCTTCCCGGGACTTTTCTCCAGGACCCTTTTCACCTGCACGCCCTCTGATGCTGTTGCCTTGGGTCTCGCGGTGCCACTCCCTTTGGGGCGTCCCCGACCTCTGCCAGTTCCTGGAGCTTTGGGAGATTTGGGCTTCTTAGGTGGTTTCTGCTCTCGCCGGGAGGGGCTCCCTCTCCCAGTTACCGTGAAGTCAAAATCATTAGGGTCCAGGGAGGTGTCGCCTACCTTTTCGAAGTACGCAATCAACTCCACTTTAGATCGAAAGGCTTTTCCCTGGGGACTGTGGGAACAAGTGGAGAGACATAAAAAGTGATTAGAAGCTTCCACAGCAATGCTGGAGATAGGGCAGAGCAGAAGGTAGTGACAAACTTTAACAGAAGAGGTTCTGCAGCTGATGTACCTGATGATACTATTGAGCCAGAGTCACATTTAAGAAAAGCCAAGATGAGCTAAAACTTGAGGGGCACAGCAACGGTTATACATGAAGCAATCAGGTTGCCGGGCAGTGGTGGGCATCTATACGGCCTGCTCCTATACCAGAATAGCTTGGTGCTAGCTGCTCCACAGCTGCCACCAGCATGCCACTGAGGCCCCTTCTGAACCCCGAAGTGGTCTGACCTGGGGACCCTGCCTAGCCATTAGGCCAGGGCCCATTCTTGCTGGCTGGTGCCCGGGCATGACCTGCCAGTACAGCACCCTGTCTGAATCTGGGCATGCTGTTTAGCACTTCTGGGAATTGGTTTCCTCATATGTCAATAGGATAATGCTTTGCTCAGTCTTCTCAGACTTTCTGGGGCCAAACAAGGTTGCAAATGTCCGTAAATGTCCTTTGAAAACTGCTAACCATTTTGGGATTGTCTAAGGGGCTGAACTGAAATGTACTTATTCACTCCTCTGAAGCTCAGGCTTGGAAGTTACTGTTTTAATAGAAAATACCCAGGAAAAAAAACCACCCAGGACCTGGCCAGTGTGGCTCAGTTGGCTGGAGCATCATCCTATACATTGAAAGGTAGTGGGTTTGATTCCTGGACAGGGCACATTCCCAGGTTGCGGGTTTGATCCTATGGTCAGGACGTGTGTGGGAAGCAACTGATCAATGTTCCTCTCTCACATCAATGTCTTTCTCTCTTTTCCCCCATCTCTTGCCTCCCTCCCTTCCTCTCTCTAAGATCAAAACAAACAAACAAACAAAAACATCCGGTGACCCTCCCCTAAGGCTGGACAAATGCAAAAGGGACAGTTGAAAAGGTACATGGGGCCTATCTGTGTCTTTCCTCAGAGGCCCTGTCCGAGAGCCCACCTTTCCCAGCACAATTCAGAGTGTACTGAGCTCTACGACTCCTCTATTTTATTTTTTCTGGTTCATGAAGCAATGTTACAGAACAACTCTCCCAGAAAGAAGATGAGGGTAATGGGTTCTGAGAAGAGCCTCTCAGCTGGATGCTCTCCAGCTGAGAAATGGCAGGAACCCCAGGGAACTCTGCTGGCCTCCTGAGCCCAGGGCTACTACATATGGCAGATCCTGTGGCCTCAGCACTTCCCAGGTGACCTCTCCTGGCATTCTCATCCCGACCCCGGGTAGGTCCTACTGCTATTCCATCTTCACACAAGGCCTCAAGGGCTGGCAGGGTAAATCACACTGTTACCCTGTGCACGTTTCACTCAGGGCAGTGACTTCCATACAGTCGTTCCAAGCATACCTAGTGGTGCCTGCAAGCAGTGCTCATTACTGAAGCCACCTTACTTAACCCAGATGGGGTTATGCACACACATTTTCTTGATCAACTAGCAGCAACTAGCTCCTACTTTAAGGGACCCCCATTAGTTTTTAGCACCTGTCCCCAGCTTCCCACCTACCCAGGGCTCCCAGCTCTGCAGAGGCAGGAGTTGCCCTTACTTACTTGATCAAATACACATCATACTTCCCAGCGGAGCGGCCAGATTTCCTTTGCTTAAGCTTCCGGGTCCAACCTTCAGGCAGAGTGGGGTCATCATACATGGGTCCCCGGTCGCGAATGATAGAGCGCCGCTGTTTGGGGGAGGCAGAAGCTTCCGGGACGGCTGGGGCTGAGCCTGACCCTTCCGAGGTCTCCGCTTTGCCTGCCTCTGCTGGTTCAGCAGAGTGGTGGGCTGGCGGCTGCAGGGGTTCATGCTTGCTTTCTTCTTTCTTATCCTTCTTCACCTTTTTAAACTTCAGGGGTTTGTCCTTGAGGCCCTGGAGGTCCTGGTCTTCTGACTTTTCTTCCCTGAAGTGTTAAACAAGTATGTAAGTATCACAGAGGACACACCAGTTTGCAGAAAAAGTGAGCATCGGAAGGCTCAAGCCAGGGCTGCCCTGCTGGTGGCTCACTCAGGTCTTGATATTCTTCCCTTCACAGATTTCTTTAGGGGCTTTGGGCTGCTAGTGGTGGTGGCCAACTGCACTCTACCTGCACTGTGGCCGCCCTGAGTCCCATTCCTGGTGTGCAGGAGAGTAAGTGGCCTGCACAGGTGGCATTTTTCTGAGCGAAACACTATGTGGCTTCTCGGCATGCTGCCTTGGCAGAGGCCACTTTATGAGCGGCACCTGAGGGCTGACTTGACCACTGGGATAGGGAGCTGTCAGCCCAAAAGGGGGTGGAGCTCCTTTTCACAAAGGCCGGGCTTGGGTGCTACTATAGCTTCTGTATTTTGGGTTTTCTCAAATGTGTACTCAACAAAGAACTGCTGTGGGGCACAGTACAACTTGCTGACAGGCACACAGCGCAGCACTGCACAAAGAGCATACAGGTTTGGAGCCAGCTAACCTGAGCTCAAATCCTGACTTTGCTATTTCCAAACACAGACCTGAGCAGGCCTGTTTCCTCATCTCAACGATGGGTACCAACACCCCAGAGGAAGAAAAGTCACAAAGGCATTATATAAATCTTGGCTAACCTGGGCAACCAGAAACCGCTGCACAGGGTCCTGGCATAAGAAAAGTGACCCCAGGTCAGGTAAGCCTTGATCACCAGACCCTCCCTTACAATGCAAGGCAATAGCACAGCCTTGCTGGTGAAGGGAAAGAGCAAGGAGAAAGGCACAGAGGAGCATTCCCCATTTTCCACACTGACAGAGCAGCGCCTTCCCTACACTTCAGTTCCATCGGGTAGGACCCCTTCCTTGTATACTTCAGAAATGCTTACTTGAGGCCCTGGACCCTAGGATCAGAGTCTGACCATGATGCTCTCATGGCCGGGCTAAGAGGACAAGAACACAACTGGGGCCAGGGAAGGCTTAGGAAGAATTGTGGGCTCAGAATTAGCCATCTGCTAGTCCCTCAGTTGGCAGCTCATTATGGAAAAGGGCAAGACTATTCCTGTCCTCTGCCCTGTCTTATATAGCTCATGTGGCACCGATCACTGTCCCGTGGCTCGTCTATCCCTAGTGATGTCCCTTCCTGTCCACACTGTGGAGACGTCAATGAAGGCACTGTGGCATGCACTCGAAACGACTCGAATGATGTGGGTAAGTCACTGAAAGCAGGTTAGCACCAGGACTCACTGGGTGCCATGAAGACATGGCCTCCCTGAACAGCTCAGGTCAGGTGTGGGGACGGATCATGGTGAGGGTGTGTCCCAGCCCTCCTCAGGCTTACTGAGTTCCCTGGATCTTCTTCAGAAGTTTAGGGCCCCAAGCATGGCTGTCAGTGTCACCCAGATTCAGCCCTTGGCTCACAGGAGACCTTTTCTTGCTGTAAAAGTGGGGTCCCTAATCTGTTCCAGCAGAGCTTATTTTTCAATGCTCCCAGTCTTAGGGAGAAGGAAAACTCTGCCATCAGCAAAGTGGTGAGTAGACTGGAACCACCACTTCCAAATAGTTCACAGTGCACTGCTGAAGTCTAGGGCTGCTCCTGGAGTTGGAGAGAAACACTGCACTGATGGAAAAGGTCTGGTTTCCTCAGAACTCTCATTTGTATTCCCTCAATACTTTCACCACCATGAGGTCAAGTACAAGCCATATCACCCAGGAATGCCTCTTAGATACAATCAGGGGTGTTGACACAATCCCTTCTAGAAATCTACCCTGAAGAGACACCTTCAGAAAGTCAAAACAACAGAGGATGATGTTATTTACAACAGCATTGTTTTTACTAGCCCGGGACTGTGGACAACTCAGACAGCCGTCACCAGGGACCTGCTGACTAGATGACAGCAGGCCCGCACCATGGAGAGTGCCCCAAACCACTGGGGAGTGATCCCTAGAATCTACTGTAAGGTAAAAAATGTACACCGCAGGCTGCCTTTTGTGGGAGATAGAAGGGGACTTTAGGAAGCACACAGCAGAAACTAATAGAACAGCCGAGGCCTCTCTGGGTATGCCAGAGCATAATTTCAACTTCTGAATCAGGTAAAAGTTTACATAACGCCAAATAAAATGAAAACAAAAGGTAACAAAATGTCACGACACTGTATATAAACAGAAACTAATAATTATATCAAATTGATGACATACCACAGAAAAAAATGATTTATTTCAAATACTTTTGTCCCCATTGCTCTTATGTCCTTGGTGGGACATAGTCTAAGGCCAACAATGGCACCCCAGGGGCAGTGAACAAGCCTAGTGCCCATGGAAGGGGACCAGGCTGGCCCCTAGGAGAATGAAAAGGACACAGGCACTGAGTGGAAGGGTTCCTTGTCTTGCGCAATGCTGTGACCAGGTGAGTGTTCAAAAGAATGAACTGATTAGAACACAATGAAGAAAATAATCCATGTGATGATATTAAGGGAGAAAAGAGAGAAAGACCTAAATGAAGTGTAATGGATAGTCATGCGGCCATGTGGGGAAAAGGCTCCAGACAGTGGAGACATGGAGGGACATGGCAGGCTCTGTTGGGTTTTATTCCAAGTGTGATGGAAAGCTTTGAGCAGGGGGCAGGGACAAGGGCTCTTGAAAGGATCACTCTAAACGGACTACTGGAGACCTATGAGGAAAGCAGGGAGGGGCCCTGAGAAGCCTTTTGCAGTTGTCTTGGTGTGGCCCAGGATGGGGACAGCAGAGGATTGGGGACAAGATCGAGAAGTGAAGCAACACTGCTGGCTGATGGACTGGTGTGGGGGTAAGGGATGAGTTAAGGGCCTCGGCAAAGCCTTGAGGGTGGAGTTCAAGAGGAGAACATACATCTTTGGCTACAAAGGTGGGATATCCAGCTGTGCCCAAACTCTGATGAAATGAACTATTTGTTTGTTTTTAAGTTTTTATTGTGATAAAATATACATAACATTAATGAACTGTTTTGTTATTAAATATTTCTTTAAAATATATTTTTACTGATTTCAGAGAGGAAGGGAGAGGGAGAGAGATAGAAACATGAATGATGTGAGAGAATCACTGATTGGCCCCACACTGGGGATCGAGCCTGCAACACAGGCATGTGCCCTGACTGGGAATCGAACCGTGACTTCCTGGTCCAGAGGTCAGCACTCAACCACTGAGCCATGACGGCCAGGCACTGTTAAATATTTTTAATTGATTTTTAGATAGAGAGAGGAAGGGAGTGGGGAGAGAGAGGAACATCAATCGGCTGCCTCCTGCACACTCTATACCAGGGATGGAGCTAGCAACCTGGGCATGTGCCTTGACTGGGAACCAAACCGGCAACCTTTTGGTGCACAGGACGATGCCTAACCAACTGAGCCACACCAGCCAGGGCAATAAATGAACTTTCATAGCACTGAAGATGATGGGGAATAAAAGGACCTTTAGCTCTATCTGTAATATTCTAATTCTAATTGAAATTACTCAAAACTACTATGACAATATGGTGATTTTCAATTCTGAGCATTAAGGGATACACAGGTGTTTGATACTTAAAAACAAATAACAAAAGCCCTAAAGCCTGAAAGCCATTATGCTGGGTGTGGAGGTAAAAACGATGCAAAACAGGTAATCCAAATGAGTTTACCCCTGGCTCAGATGCCTGCTCAGTCCCAGGGTGACCTTGAAGGAGGCCTGGCAACTCCCTAAGCATCCCTCCCACACATGCACCAGGACGTTATGGGGTTTGCTGAAGCATACACTTTTTCAAAGAAACCAAATAGCCCTCTTCATCCTCCCTCTAATCACAGCATATATATGTGCGTGTGTGTGTGTGTGTGGACGTACGCATGCACATGCACACACATAATCCTGAGTATGAGGAGAACTGAGCACCTAGTTCACAAGTTCATATATTTTAGAAAAATCACCTATTTAATTCTTCAGTGTCACAGATGGAAAAAAAAAAGGAAGTACAACCAGACAAGAGAACTTGTCTGAGGTCACAGTTGAGCCAATGTGTTTTCATTGATACCCTTGACCTGAAAGACTGCTAAGAGCTGAGATGCCAGAGCAGGATTAGCATAATTCTTTGGTCTTCTAGAGCTCCAAGTTTAGTGTGTGTGTGTGTGGGGGGAGGTGGGGAGACAGACAAAGAGGTAACAAAGAAATAATGACATCCTCCCCTGTTCCAGGCAGAGGGGAAACCCAGAGATGGGGATTCCTGGAAGAGGAAGTTCTGAGCTTGGTTTTTAAGACTCATGAGGAGTTTCACAGGCTGGTCAGGAGGGCTCAAGGCAAGCCAGGTCAGATGAGCGGAGGCAGCAAATCAATAGTCCCTCCTGTCCTCACTATGATGCCCTTCCTGGGAGGGAGACCAGAGCTGCTGGGCCGGCCCTCTCTCCCATCTTCATTTGGGTTAAGATGGTGCTTCTGACCAGCCTTCCCTGGTCTTTCCTCCCACCTCCCATGAATAGGAGTACCCTATGCCCCCTCCCCGCCCCTGTGTACTTAAAATATACCCTGGTGATGGGCAACTCCCCCTAGATGTGTGCCTTCTTTACTGTCATTTCCCTGCTCAACACACAGTGAGTGCCAGGGACAGGAATAGCATTTAAGTCACATGCCAAGTGGCAATCACAACTCAGATACTGTGGTACCTTTCCTTCTTCTTTTTTTTTTTTTAAAATATATTTTATTGATTTTTTACAGAGAGGAAGGGAGAGAGATAGAGAGTCAGAAACATCGATGGGAGAGAAACATCGATCAGCTGCCTCCTGCACATCTCCCACTGGGGATGTGCCCGCAACCCAGGTACATGCCCTTGACCGGAATCGAACCTGGGACCTTTCAGTCCGCAGGCCGACGCTCTATCCACTGAGCCAAACCGGTTTCGGCTCCTTCTTCTTTTTAAAAAATATATTTTTATTGATTTCAGAGAGGAAGGGAGAGGGGGAGAGAGAGATAG